CGCTCTTTCCCCTGCAGTCTACCCGTGCGCCGCCCCGTGTACCACGATAGCGCTCGCTACCATTGGGCAACTGGTCGGTGGCCAAGAATGCCGAAAACTCTGGAAAAAAAAAGTTAAAAACCTTCCTCCGAAAAACTCCTCCGACAACATCCTGGCGCTGAGGCGCCCGCTTTGCGCCCGGCCGCTCAGGCCCCCTTGTCGAATGGCCCCGAGCCGGGATTGCTGGTGTTCGTAGGGAGGGGGAGGAGGCTGGAGGGGAGGCACAGTGGCTGGCCCATTGGAGAGCCCCAACCCTGATGCTACCGGCCGACCCTTGGTCGGTACCGCCCACCTGTCGTAGCAGGTATCGCACCTGCAAGTGGGTACAACTCCCGCATGCTCCATCGTTGGAGGCTTAAGCACGAATGTGGGTGCTACGGAGCCCCCCAAAACACTACAACGGGTTGACTTTGACGCAGTCACGAAAACTACTTGCCGTTGCATTTCGGCAATCCCGTGAATAGAACCTACCCTCACGCCGGCTCTTTTTTCGGTCCGCAGTTCCATGCAATCACAGAAAATAGAAAGGGGAGAGGGGAATTTTGCCTGCGTCTCGGACACGCGGAATCCGGACAGACCCGCCGAAAGAGGCGTGTGCTCAAGGTCCTTGACTGTCGCGGCGGCTTTCACAAAACCGGCATCGCGTCCCGGTCAACGACACACCGGAGTATAGCAAGCTATCAGAAATACGACGCTATATAAAGATTTTACTTAGGAAGTACCTCCACCGATCGGGTGCCGCCGACGACCAAACTAACGGAAATAGCCCCGCCGGGCCCTCAACCCCATCGGCTCCCTCCTGGATGCTCCGCTGCTGCTGCTTCGGCTTTCGCCGGCCTCGATCCCCGAACCTCCGTATCGTCAATCCAGTGTCATAACCTATAGGGTTAAGCCCAAGCCTGAAACCAACACACGCGGAGTGCCATATAAGGCAGTGCGTCGCGGCGCTTTGGGCCAACACACCGGCTGCTCGTCTCCCAGTGCCCGCGCCGACTTGCTTATACCGTGCTATAATTGCCCCGCGCGCCACCCTGCAACACCCCGCTCACCGCACGAAGTCGCGCCGTCGTTGTCGATGCCGTCGTCAGGGTCGTTCTCCGCACGCGCGCTTGACTCGGTCAAACATAGCCATCGAACAAAAATATCCCCTAGATTCTAGTTTAATCAAGAGTAACCGAAAATAAAAACTTAAAGATAAAAATGAAAATAAACAGACCGGCGCTCGCGCCGGTTTCGTAATCAACATCAGGAGATGAATCACGCGCGCCTTAAACCTGCGCGCCCACGCACTCTTAACTCTAGTCAACCATCCAGTCAACATAAATCACAGACACAGTCGCACCTAGCACGCTATACTTAAACTCTAAACCAAAACTGTTTTCTGTCGCTTGCAAAAAAAAAAAAACAGGGCGGATACCCTTGTAAGGGTATTCGCACCGACACCGCCTCCCCCCATCCCGCTTCCTCCCATGCCGCCTCCACTCATCCCGCCTCCCCCCCTACCCCTCCCCCCCCCCCCCCCCCCCCCCCCCCCCCACCCCCGCCCCCCCCCCCCCCCCCCCCCCCCCCCCCCCCCCCCCCCCCCCCCCCCCCCCCCCCCCCCCCCCCCCACCTCCCGGC